GCTGCTGCTGTTGCTGCGGCAGCTGCTGCACCAGCTGCAACCGGGCATGCGCCTCGCATGCTGCTGCCTGTTCTGCCGCTAACGGGAACAGCAACAGGAGACAAAGGCCGGCTGATGTCTCCTTCCATTGAATTTGGTGTTGTTGCAGCTGTTGCTGTTGCCACTGTTGGAGCCGAAGACGGCTGGGCCATGCCAGACTCAGCAGGGATGGCGCCATTTTGCTGTTGCTGTTGCTGCTGCTGTTGCTGCTGTTGCTGCAGCGGCGTCGGATTGCTATCGTGAATGGAACAGAAGCTAACTGTGCGCCTTCGTGAGTGTCTCTGTCTCCTCCTCAGGCGCCTGTCTAACCACTGGTGCAGGTCGCCGCCGTAGCACGTCTCCGTCACCTGTACATACACCCCAACTCGACACTGTTTGTCAGCAAAACGCAAGCTGCTCGAAAAAAAGGCAGCAAATAGCGACGGACAGACGGAGATAGAGGATGGAATGAATGATAGAAAGAGACAGACACACAAAAGCACAGAAAAACCCCAAAAAGCAAAGACAAGTACACAGAATAGCAATGCATAGATGCACGGACATAGGTGAACACAGAGAGAAACATACACTAAAGAATACTACAAAACAGAAAATGAAGAAACGACGACAGGAAGACAGCAACGGGTATGAACAGACACAAACAGCAGCAGACGCAGCAGTGGCTAGCGCCAATAGAAAAGAAACAGAGAGAAACAATGTGATACGAAGGGTGGAGGCATGCGCGTAAAAGTAGATGCAGCGGGAGAAAGAGTGATATACCACAGAGAGAAAGATATATGCAAACAAAACAGAAAACAATAGAGTGAAAAGACACAACAGCAAACGCAACAGAACATACACCAGACGAACGCAAGAAAAATAAAACAGACGAACTGCGAGATAACTAAAGGAGAGATAACCAATGTGGCAAGTGGGAACAAAGATACAAACGGAAACAAAGAAGAAGAGAGAACACACAAAGAGCAACCAAGAGGAAGAGGAAAGATACAAGCAGCAAAAAAAAAAAAGATATAAAGAGGAGCTGCAGCAGGTACGCACATGGTATACAGCATCAGGATCTTCGAATACTTCAAAGAGTCTGACGATGTTGGGGTGATGAGCCTTTCTTAGGAAGGTGACCTCGTTACGAAAAAGACGAACACCTTCAGGCTGATCTCTGCTAACACGTTTCACTACACGACGAACACCAGAAAGTATATCTGTTGCTCTATACACCCGGCAAGCAAAGGATCCAAGGCCTATTACTTCATCCAGCTGAAACAAAACAAAACAAAACAAAACAAAACAAAACAAACAAACAAATCCATATATAAACATATTTCATACATATATTCTGCATATCCTGCACTGAATATACACACATCCATAGGTGCAACAGATAAATGCATATTATTGTAAATATAAATGCATGCATAATATTACAAGTAGAAATGCATGCATTCAAATACATATGCACGAAACATGCAAGTATGTAGAAGCAAACTGAGAGAGAAGATGCACAGAAGCCAAGATGAAGGATGGCTTCAGCGTACAGAGAGGCTGAGCTAGTACATGTGTAGCCGCATACATGCGTTGTTTAGGTGTATATAAACAAAAAAAAAAAAGAAAAAAAAAGAACAACAAGGAAACATAAAACACGCAGAAGGCTTACGGTGTAGCAGGAAGTGATGGGGAGAGGCGAATTGCGTACAAGCTGCTGCCTCCTTAGAACACATCCTTCACTACGGACGCGTTTGAGGCCTTCTATCCCCTCTATAAACAAACAGAACAACGCATGCATTGGTCAGTTGCTTGCTCGCTCTTGTGTATATTATATTCTGTTGATATTCACGATATACGCTCGTGTTCTGTTGCTTTAGAAACAGCTGTTTCGCTGTGTATCGGCTCACTAGCCATTCATATGTAACGCTGGAAAGCCAGATAAGTGGCGTATATACAGTACAACAGCTAGCTGAAGAAAACAAAACCAGAGAAGGCACAAACAACGACGCCGC